CCCCTCCCCCCCGGTCTCCAGCTGTGGTGGAACTACAAATCCCATGAGGCATTGCAAGATTCTCAGACATGACTGCTGGAGAGATGCATCATGGGATTTGTAGTTTCACCACGGCTGGAGTTTGGCTACCCCTGGCCTAGAAAGTTCACTTCTCCTGCCCCCTTCAACTCTTCACCCTTTAGTGAAGAACCCTGATAATCTTTGGTTTCTTTTTTTTTCTCTGCACATTGCTAGTGGTATCTAGTATGGGTAGAGAAACATTAATTTACACACGTGCATAATGGTACTTGGGTACCAAGTGAACACAGGGTGAGCAGGCTTCACTGTTCTGCGCACATAATGTAAATATCATTTAAATCTTGGCAATGGCAAGTTTAGGGTACTGCTTGGTAGCTTTGTTAAGTTATATGGTGCTAAGTTTGTGGCCCTTCACAGGCTCCAAAGGATGAATTGGTTTCTCCATCAGTGTGGATCATAAAGTATCAACTGCTGTACTGTAAGATACCAATTCATGCCGTATATGCAATCTCCGGATCTACATCGGGTCTTCAGACTTTTGTGGGAGGTAAGTCTTTTTTGTTTAAACCTTCTCAAGCCAAGTTTCCATAGCTGTACTTAGTGTTTAAAAACCCAAGCAAAAAAAGTCATTAAGTTCTTTCTTTTTACCTGGCGATTCTGCCAGTAACTCGCTTGCTGTACTGTATTAAGAAGCGTTGTCACTCTAGAACAGAACTACAGAAACCCCATAAGTGATCAGAATGCAGAAAGTAGACTTTATTGGCTTGCAAGATGCTGCACAATCAAGTGCCAAATGATGGTTTACGGTAAACTTTCTCAGTGTATCCACCTAATGAGGCACCATTGTTACCGCACCGTTATTGGCAAGAATGCTGCACACTTTTGGTGTGGGGGTAAAGGGCAGCGGGGGGGGGGGGGGGCAGATTGGAGGGGCTAATTCTGTTTCCCAAATTTACCAAGGAAAGTGTAATTACCCTTTTAATTGACTCCTTCTGTCCCCAGTAGCTCCAGCAGACAAATTGTGACTATCTGCTCCATGGCAAGTTGCTGGGTCTCAAACCCTCATTGAATTCCCATTATTGCAACGAGAGAAATATTTCTATTGTCCCTATAATACACTTGGTTGGACCCAGTAACATTCTTATACAAGAATCCCTGAATGAATACTTGGTCTTAATGGTCTTATTGTGCAGATTGTTTCTGCTCAGACAAGTGGGCTCAATTCACAAAGCTAACAAGCCAGAATGAGGGTTTTTATTGTCAAAAAAATGTATTTTCATTTAAATACACTCTGGTAGCTGAAAGATCCTTGTCCTAGCTTTGTGACTTGGGTCTATAGTCTCATAAGTGCTCTGTAGTGTTTTTTTTTTTTTTTTTTCCCCCCCTCTTTTAAATTGGCAGACTTAAGGTGAACAGACACTCAAACTTTAATGTTTGTTATATTTCCCCCTTGTATAGCATTGTTTCATAGACGTGGACAGTCAATGGATTGAATGTGGTAGTACTTGCATTAGCCCAGTTGTCACTGGTCCTCTTGATGCAATTCCTCTTACATCTGAGCACTACAATTCAGAGCCATAAAGCTTGGCCTAGCATTCGCCTCTTGTTTTGTTTGTGTTTTTTTTCTTTTTTTTTTCTTTTACAAACTGGATCCTTTAACACACTACAAAGTGTTTGATCTGTGACATGATGCATGTATCGTTTCACTTTTGTTTTTTTGCTGGTACTTGACAAGCATCTGCTTCCTGTGGGCAATAACGCAACCTTCCCACCTCTGCCAGATGGTTTCTCTGGGTTAGAGTATTTTCTATAAGTGGTGACTTACGCAAACCTATGGATCTATACACTGGACACTTTTACCGTTATCAATGGAAATTAAACATTGAATATCGGCACTTAACTAAAATGATCTCTTGGCATAATGAAACTGAAGCCTGCATGTAGGTACAAGATCTCACTGTCATGCTTCTAATTCCTTTCTTGAACATTTTATTTTTGTCAGATCTGCAAATAACAGAAATGGTTCGCTATGAATAGTTTCTTTTTTTAATAGATCAGGATTGGTTTCATGATCTACGAAACCTGCCAGGTCATGTCATTGCTTGTCAGCTTGAAGGTTTCCTCATTTTACTGTCGGTGAAGGAAACTGACAATTTTGTCTTTTCCATCACATAATGTAAATGTAACTCGTGGTTCTTGTGTTGCTTAGGACTCCAGTCCATTGCGTTCTACAAGTAGAGACTGGCTTTCCAGAGAGAGGGAGAGCATTGAACCATCTTGGAAGACTCCTTCATCCAGCTATCAGCGCTGCTCAGGGACATATGATCGCCCAGTATCTGGGAGCTTCTTGGGAAATAGAAGCAGGGTTGTAAGTAACTTTAATTTTCAGAGAAATCCATTCCTGCTATGCACAGCTGAGAAAAGGGGTATAATGTGTTTTTACCTGTGTATGTCCTGTATAATCACATTTTAAAGCTTAAACTCCCACAAATTTGTTTTATGGCAATTGAAGTAGACATCGTGGTTAAGATTTTCAGTAACATTTGTTCTGTAGTTACATTGTAGTTTGTATTTATTTTTGGTTTCATAAATGGGACTGTAACCTCTTACACACCTCAATTGACTTTGATTTTAGCAGACAAAGGGAAAGGGACCCCTCCAATGGAGGTAAAAACTAAATTTAGAGGAAAGAAGGTTTATATTTGTCCTTGTGGTTTCCTGCCTCAGTTTGGGATTCAGACACTTACAAGAGAAGTGTAATCTTTGGAGACATTGGCAGCATTTCAGAAGTCTAAACGTTGCCCATACACTGTATGATTATCGATTGAAATCCTGCGATCGTACGATAATCGCAAAGTGTACGGAAGGCGTGCGACTGTTTCTACTGTACGGTAGGCTTGAGGGCCTGTTCACATGAGATCAGGTGCTGATCAGCAGACGTGGCGCTGCTGATGCAGTGCGTTTTTGATGCGTTTTCGGTCCGGATGCTGACAGTTAATTTTTTGTCAATGTTGATGACATCATAATAAGTGGAGCAGGAATACAATTTTTTTCTTTTTTTTTCCCCCCCCCCTTAGCTGCATTCCGTTTTCGTTGCGTTTCATGCGCGTTTGTGTATCCGGACCGTTTCCGGACCTGACAAAATGTGACATGCAGTATTTTTTTCTGTCGTAAGCTGAGCGGACTGCGCACGTGAGAACTGGAGCCCATAAAACACATAGGGATACATTGGGATGCATTTTGAGTGCAGCAGCGTACGGAGCCGGTCAGCACACAAAACGGACGTCGTGTGAACAGGCCCTAAAAACACGCCGGGAATCGTGCGATTCTCGGCGGGTTAATGGCCTCCTTTTTTGACAACTGCCGAACGGGCCGGTGTGCGCACGCACACACTGCCCGTTTTCAGCCATCGGAATCCTGCCCCTCAGGGAGGCTGGCTTGCGATGATCGCAAGTACGATCTTGTCTGTCCAAGATGGGCAGATCGTACGTTTTTTTAAAAATTACTTTACAACCCTCGCAGGACAAAAACCTTAACCCTTTACTGTCTAAACCTTTACTGCTCTATCAAATACTAAAATAGTTTTTGGCTAGAATTGAGGTTAAACTTTTATTTGGATCTTGGTTCTGTAATCCGTAGGCCGGCACCCCCATAAGATCCTCATGTGGGTGTCCGATCTTCATTTTAAACTTTCTTTTAAACCTTGGGGTTTAAAAAAAAAATATACACTAATCTAGAGACGTTAAATACTAATATATGCTGCTGATGTTTATTGGCTAATTTTGTCCACTTTAGTCTACAGCATCATCACAGCCATCGTGGTATGATCCTTTGGAGAGGACGCAAAGCACTTACACTGGACTGGGCAGCCAACAAGACAGGGATTCTAAGAGACCAAAACTGTCTTATTCTGGATGTACGCCTCTTAATGGTGGAAGTACTACTAATTCCGGCTATACCTCCACTCCAGGTATGGGGTTACCTTAAGGGTGCAATCATACAAGCATAGTCTTCTGTTCTGTGTTAAATGCACATTAAACCAATGCTCCATAATGAACCAAAATTCACACATGCAGAATTTTTGGCACTGCAACACACACCAGTCTGTCATTGGTGTTTCTGGATCTATAATAATGGTGGAAGGACTGCTAAGAGGGTTGCCACCTTTTCTTCAAGCCAAACCTGAGCACTGTAACGGCACGCAGCTATTTTTTTTTTGGGTGAGTATACAGGGTAGAGTGAGAAGAGACAGCCAGGGGGAAGCCAATTACATTGAATGTCTAGTGATGTTGAAAAATTCCAGCTTCCAAGTGCTGTCTGTCGGTCTGCATTAAGGTTATTAATGGAGGGTCTCTCAGAGCTTCAGACACAGCGACTGACTCAAAACCTCCATGTTGCAGCCCTAAAGTAGGTGAGGGGTGAGAGAGGGTATGGCGGGAAGGACAAGGGGCCTTGGTGAACTCCTGTCCAGGGCCCCCTAGAGTTGGGAGTTGCATTTCGAATGGTACAAACTCCTATTACCCCAACATAGTGGTGTGAGCAGGCACTAATCGCTGCTGATGCCATTTTACACTGTTCAGTGCTTCATTGAGTAAGCAATTTATTCTGAGCCGGCTATAGTGTTCAGATGAGTATTTGTCTGGAAGCCTAATTTAAAATATTTGTGAAATATTGCCACCACTCTGAATCCAATGCCCTCTCTTCCAGGTTCATCTATAGTAACTGTGGGCATAAAGTGGGTTCAGAGGACAGTAATCAGGAAAGCTAGAATAGTGTTTTATTTCACATGACCCTTTCTGTATGTTTGCATTAATATTGCTGCGGGCAGGGCAAATCTCAGAGCATGCAGCGTACAAAAAGCAAATTGAACCTTCTGTTTTTAATGGAAACGCATGACCCTCGACTTCTAGGAAAGCCTGTTGTCTAAAGATAGTCTAGAGCTCCTGAGGTCTGCATGAATCAATCTGCACGTCCTAATCAAATGTTTAGGGCTGGATTTATGTACACTTTCCTAGATATAGGGGGAGATGTATCCTAAAGGTCACAGGAGAACAAGGTGTGCAGTGTTTGTAGGATCTTGTGTGTTGGTTGCGCTGAAAATATCCAGCTGTTTAGAACTACAAATCACTGGTTGTCCTGCCAGCAAGATGGTGTATAGGGCTGGTCTGCTTTCTGGCAGTTCAAGCAGGAATTTGTATTGAAAATGTTGGTCTGTTGCGCCTCTAAATTGTATACATTGTGTAAATACTACATGAAGACATTGGTTGCCGTCTCCAGACGGCATTTTTTCCCTGCTCGCGCGCACTGGCAGGAAAAAGCCGTTCTGCACAGCCGTTACCGGCTGTTTCACATACAACCGATCAGCGGCTCCATAGCTGCCGATCAGTTGTATGGTGTGATTTGGTCGATCACCTGACACCCTCACCTTCAATTCCGGGATCCGCTAGCTCATCTGCGGCCTGGGACCGGCTTGGAAGGGAGTTCAGCATCTTCCTCCTTGCTGACCTCCCTACATACTGTGAATGCAGAAGTGATGTGTATACCATCACTGTCGCATTCACCTGTCAGTCATCTGGCTGCTTTAGCCAGAGAAAAGAAGCTGATGAAGCAGATCTCTGCTTCATCAGCTTCTTTTGGGGTCCCCAGATGACTTGTCCTAGAGAACCCTAATGTCAGTGTACCTGTGCTATTATATCGGGAGATTGTATCCCCCCTATGTAATAGCAATAACAAGTGTGGAAAAAATAAATATATAATAATATCTCCCATAATGTTTAAGTCCCCCACACTTACGCACATATAAACGTAAATATGCCTCGGCATGCGAAAACGACAATTGTGCTACACATGTTGCATATCGCCACAAACGTCGCAGTGAGAGCAATCATTTTAGGGCGATCAATCACTGATAACACTAAACTGATGAGCGGTAAAAGCTTTTAAAGCGTCGCCTATGGCCAATTTTGGGTATTGTAGTTTTTTTGAGGTTTCGCGTGTGCAATTTTAAGGCTTGACATGTTTGGTGTCTTTTTACCTGTCGTGACCTCGTCTCTTATATTTTACCAAAAAATTGGGTAATGTTTTAGCATTTAATATAGGGGAAACTTTTTTTTTATTTTCTATAATTTTTCATTTTATAGTAAAAAATAAAAACCCCAGTGGTGATTAAATACCACCAAAAAAATGGTTTACAATTCATTTCAGTACAGCGTTGCATGACGGAATAAATGCCAAAGTACTGAAAAATTTACTGGGGGAAGGGGGTTTAACACCGTGGACTTAAAGTGGTTATCACTGGTGCCTGCTTGAGATATAAATGAGCTCACTTGTGCTGGAATGTGAAATTGAGAAAATGTTCCCTACATTCATGCTTTGGCAACAACCTAAAATTCTGGATTTTTCCCTCCCTTTCAGTTCTAGTGGAACAGGAGGCTGAAGACAAAACTAAAGGAGCTAACACATCCATGGACTGCAAAGCTGCAATAACATTCTTGTTGTTGGGCTTAAATACCCTTTTCAGCTAATAAGGTGGAATACATATTGAATCGGGCACTAATTGTCATGAATGTGCATGCTTCTTATCAAGGCAGTGTATTTAAGTCTAAATAGTTCTTGGTCTTGACTTGTGTAGTTATTGGCTCTTACAGTAAACTTCATGTTGTCCCTTACTAAGTTGCTGCATGCATGACCGATTCTTACCTTGTCTACAGACTCCTCAAGCAGGTATGCACGCTTTCCTAGGACGTCTTCAATGGTGTTTCATTCTGATTTATCAAGGGACCGAGACAGAAGAACAGACACAGCTATACATGAGCTTGGCGATTATGGGCATCGAAATAGTGACATCACTCCATCATGTAAGTGAATTGGGTTGTGCACAACATATTTACAAAGGATTGACAATACACCATTTTGTTTAATTATGCTAAACTGAGATATCCTCATATTGTATTAGGATAGGATGGAACCTGTTAGAAAGGAACAAGTGATGTCATTGCTGACTTGTTCTGTGAAGTTGGTGCCAGTTCCAGTAAATGCCATTTTAAAATTGCAGCGTTGTTACATGTCAATGATTTGTTAAATGGTGAGGCAGGTAGGATGAAGCGGTGAAACCCACACCCTAAAAATCAATGGCAGCTTCTTAGTCTTTAAAGGTACTAATGACAAACTCAATTTCATATTGGGTAGAGTGGGGAAGAGAAAATTAGATGTCCCCATTTTACTGGAAAGACGCAAACTAATGGAAGGTTGCATAGATAACATGGTACTGCTTTGTTAAAAACAAGAAACTCTTATTCATTAGAGGACACAGATCTGCTTTAGATCTGAACACTTTGTATTACATTAAGCAAGTTGCTGGTTGAATGACGGGCAAGCTAATATAGATCCTTGTAGTCTTCCCAGTTCCAACCATTAAGAACAAAGTTCTTCCTCTGTGCCGGTTCAGCTGCAATTACCTTGGCAAGGGCAGCTTGTGGATTTTTTTTTTTTGCTGCTAGGGATGCACGTGACCGGTTGGCTTCAGAGTGTGTGGCCTATTTTTATCAATGTCCCTTGGGGGACTTTGCCTGCTACTACTCTGATAAGACGAAAGGAGCCCTTGACTCCGGCCTGCATGTTGGCTATGTCTACATGGAGACATTAGAGCATGGGAGGTTGGGAGTGTGGCTGGACATACCAGGGCAGATAACTGACAAATGGACCATCTTGGGCCCTTCATCCAGAAGTCTTAACACAGATCTGCCTAAGATGGGTAACACCAGATGTCAGTTGTCTGCCATCGCACCTCAGTCAATGGGCAGGTGGGTTTGCTGCAAAAACAAATGACCTTTGGGCAGACTCAGTGGCTGTAATACTACATGAATTGCTACATTGACTTATGATCAATGGTGAAACCTTTGCCATGGCTACTGTGCCGGATGGAAGTAACCTTTTCCAGTAAATTTGGTGGCTCTTGATTGGTCCCACCAGCAATGGTACATCTATAAGTCTAGTTTTTATAAGGCATCCACTTGAGCATCAGTGCATACTTTCAAAAAGTTTTAGAAGGTGGATGTGGGCAGCATCAGCTGATCCCACTTTTAGACTAAACAATTTACAGTTTGGAGATGGGTAAGTCTGGTTTTATGTTTTGTGCCTGCCCTGTTGTGGCTCTGTTTTGGGACAACCCAGTAGGTGACCTGTCTAAATCATAGCTGTGTCTTCCAATGGAACGAAAAAGAAAATAGGATCTTTTTGTACGTGTGAAATTTTCTCTGCATTCTTTAGAGGAAATCGCATCCACCCCTCTCACTTGGCTGCTGCCAGTATTTTTTAATATGTTGCAATAGTAATTCCACCCTCTGTATAGCTCTCGAGGGAGGGAGAGGGCTATACAGAGCAGGATTACTGTTACACATGCTGTTTCCAATAGTGCTGGTGTGCACTGGTAACATATGAATGGCAGAGAGCTACATATGTTGAGCATATCTAGCTGCATGAGAGCAAACTTCTGATTGCATCCAGATATTTGGTAAATGGGGGAGTCATCTGGAGGTTTCAGATTACATTTTGTGGCCTTGGAGATGTACACCAGTGCATTTTGCTTTTCCATAATGGAACAAATGTTGGAACAGAAGTGGTGTGGGGTTTTTTGTGATTTTGGGTGGAGGCAGTTGCAAGCATGTGGAGTTGAATTGATAGACACACATTGTCAAAGGATTTTTGATCATGTGGGTCTCATCAATTGACAATTAAAAAAAAAAATATGTATATTTTTAACACACATATACATACACACCCCTAAAGAAATTCAACCACCTTCAAGGCAAGAAATTTTTTTCTTTTTATAAGCACAGGGTTAGGCAAATGTTGGCCCTCTAGCTGTGGTGAAACTACAAATCCCCAGCATGCATCTGCCTGAGTCAAGCAATGCCTCATGGGATTTGCAGTTCAACTGCTGGAGGGCTGCAGTTTGCCTACCCTTTAAAAACGCTAGTGCTTCGCATAAATCTCCTGTGCACATCATAAATGCAGAACAATTCCAATACACATCCACAAAGATTAACAAGAAGTGATCTAAAGTATTTTTTATATATATATATATATATATATTTTTATTTTCCTTGTGCATTTGCTCTCCTGAGCTGCCTGAAGTGGGGTAGGGGCTGCACTTGTTGTAGAAAGATGTTCCAGAAGCAGGGTAGATTGAAGCAGGCAGATCATTGAGTGGACTCAATTTTCCAAAGATTTATACAGTTTGCCCACCTACAAGCAGACTAGTGTTTACTGATGAGATTGGGGTGAGTTTAGGGTGAAAGTGCCTGAAAACCTGCAGGTATGAACACCTTTTGTGGTCCATGGGTTCCTCAAAGTGATTAGACTCCAAGAATGTAGAGAACTCAGTTTTAAAATTTTAGACTGTATGAAACTGAACCTAATCTAGTTTTTGTACTTGTTTCTTTGCAGATCTTCAGGACAGAGTTTCTTCATATGCACAAGGCGCTAGACCAAAAGACACCTCTCTAAGCACAGTTCGACTTAACACATCAGTCAGCCGCCAGTTGCCTTCACAGAGCCCTTCATTAACTAGAGATTCAAGCAGGAGTTCAAGAACCACAACTTACAGAGACCTACGCTCTCCACAGAGGGATATCTCCTCTGAGGTTCATCATTCTGCAAGCCGACGTGAAGGAACACCTCGGAGTACTCCGGGAAGAATGTCGCCTTCACCGGTGCCAAGAAGTGACCAAACTACAGATGGCGATGGCAGGCGTACAACAAGGCACCTCCTGTCCCGCCTTGCATCTAGTATGTCTTCTACCTTCTTCTCTAGGAGGTCCAGCCAGGATTCTTCAAGTGGGAGATCACAAGATGTGGAAGAAGCACATTCAAGTTTACATGTTACTCCTGAACCCAGCCCTGCCAACAGTGAAGTACTGGAAAACAGGCCTTCTGAACAATCTCAGGGATTCGCCTTTCTTAGGAGGAGGAGATGGGGCTTGTCATCAGTGTCTCCAAATCAGAGTTCAGATTCTGATGCCGAAAGCTACAGGTCAGAAGATTCTGAAACTAGGACTTCAGGATCATGGCTGCCATCCTCCTTCAGGAATAGATGCACGCCACTGTTCTCCAGAAGGAGGCGGGAAGGAAGAGACGAGACTGCCAGAGCGTCATCTACCTCTGACACTAGTAGGATACACAATCCTTTTAGAAGGTCATCCCAAGAAGATTCTTTAGATGAAGCACAAAGGAACCCTCAAGGAGCCGCTGCTGCAGCCAGAAGTTCTCCCCTGTCGTCTGCCTCGCCTAGCAGCAGTTCGGCAGCTGCCTCTATAGCGGAGACTCTCTTCAGCAGGAGAAATTCAGGAATTTCAGGCATGCTTCCTAACTCACTCTTACACTTCTCAGTGCCAGCTGCACTAGGGAATTCCTTATCGGACAATGTCATGATAACTGTAGATATTGTTCCCTCAGGTAGGACAAGTGATGGACATGAAAGTGAAAAGGCTCCAGACTCCTCGAGAGATCCTGAAAAGCTCAAGAAAATTAAAGAAAGGTAATGTGTATGTTTACTTTATATTTTAGAAAGTGTTGTCTCTTTATTAATTGAGCACAATAGTGTAGAAGTGATTGTGCTTCAATATACTTTCCCTCTGTGCCAGGCTGAGAGTAAAAGCAATTGTGTGTGGTTTTCTTTTAATGCCCATAGCTGCCCTATAGCATTGACTACATTCTAGTACACCTGCCTGGCATACAGACTGGGTGAGGATCCAGATGGGAATGTGAAGGTCAGGACTGACGCAACCTTTCCTGTTGTAGGACTTTATTATTTTACAAGATTTATATAGCAGCAACAGTTTGTGCAGAGCTTTCCAAAATTGCATGAGACAGTACTGTTGCAATCAAATTTCAATATAGGAGGGTTAGGAGTACCCTACTTGTGAGGAGTTGTGTTAGAGTTAATGGAAAAGGATGGTTCATGTCGAGGTGGTATAGGCTTTTCTGAAGAGATGAGTTTTCAAGGATTGCCTGAAGGTGGACAGATTGGGGTAGGTAGTTCCAGAGGATGGGAGACACTCTGGAGAAGTCCTGTAGAAGAGAATGGGAGGAGCAGGAGGTCCTTTTTGAGGAGCTGAGAGGATTTTTTGGGTGATATTAAGTTGAGGTTGGTGATGTAGCCAGGGCAGAGTTGTAGGTGGCTTTGCATATTTAGGATTCATTTTTTGTTGGGAGCCAGTGGAGGGATTGGCAAAGAGGGGCAGCGGACACTGAACGGCTGCTTAGGTGGATGAGTTTGCCAGCCGCATTCATGATGGACTGAAGGTAGGATAGCCAGTTCAGTGGTAGGCCAATAAGGAGGGAGTTACAGCAGTTGAGGAGATTTTAGCAGTGTATGTATAATTTGAGAGCCTCCTATTCTGCTCTGTATTCTCGGCACAAATCTATATCGGCAGTCTGCATCCTTAGAGTACCAGACTCGCAGCTGCTGTTTACAATTGGGTGAATAGAATTGCCATTTTATATTTACTGGAATTGATGTATTTTAAGCCAAAAGCTTTTGTTTTGGATAGTGGTACAGACTTGGAACATGTCTTTGGTTTTTACTGCTTCTACTGACAATGGTTTTACTAGACGGGACATGTGAGGGGAAAAGAACAAAATTCTGACCGGGGTTCTGGCCTGGCCCCACTCTACAAAGTGTTTATTTTGGTGTTCTGATGTAGAGTTTGTGTCCAGTAAATTATCAGTAGCTAGTAAGACCTGTAAGTGTTAATTGCAGCAGAGGATAATTGTGTATTCTGCTTTGTCAGATACCAGGGGTAGCCAAACTTTAGCTCTTCAGCTGTGGTGACACTACAAAACCCAACTTGGCTCTAAGTCATGGCTTTGCCTTATGGGGCCCGCAGTGCCTTTATAGAGCCTGTAGTTGCACAACAGCTGGAGGGCTGATGTTTGGCTGCCTCTGCCATACAGGTTTGTACTGTCCAAAAGCAATAAATAGAATAGTGGATGGACAGAAGTTTAGTAGGTGAAACTGAACCCTTTGCATCTCCTGCAGATTTAGGAATTCAGCTAAATTACTTTTAGCAGTAATGGACTATTTAACCCACCCCGAAATCTAATAATAAAATAGAGATCCACATGAACATGTTTGAGATCCAAACAAAGTAGTCTAGTTATGTACAGCAATTTACTCTTCTCTTCCTTTCCCCTCTAACATAATTTTTTTTTCTTATTTTCAGCCTCCTACTGGAGGACTCTGAGGAAGATGAAGGTGACTTGTGCAGAATATGTCAGACTGGAGCATCCAGTCCAAGCAATCCCTTTATTGAGCCATGCAAGTGTTCTGGTAGCCTGCAGTATGTCCACCAGGACTGTATGAAGAAATGGCTGCATGCCAAGATTAACTCTGGTATCTGGTTTGCTATTCGTGTTTATATCCAAATGATCTGTTATTAGAACATATACAGGCTTTGGGTAGAGATTTGACTTGTGGTCTGTTGTGGATTTCAGGTTCTAATTTGGAAACTATAACTACATGTGAATTGTGTAAAGAGAAGCTGGATCTGAACTTGGAGGACTTTGACATTCAAGAGCTTTACCAGGCACATGCAAATGAGAGGGTAAGTATACTCTCACTCTTGGAGTGACACTAAACTCAGGAGTTCTGAAAAAATGCATTCAAGTATCCGAACTATTAACAAAAATATAACTCATTTGTATATCACTCGGCTGTAGATACTCAAATCGTCTCTTGTATTGATCTGAATTGGTGCTGACACTGTCCTTCCTTCTAAAGGGTGGCTACTTTTGTTCCCCATGGTCCCTGTGTGTAGTCACTGCTCCAAGCTCACTCCCATGGACTACAATCTCATGTTTAGTTTAATAATTTTGTATTGAGATTGTAGTCCATCACAGGCATGAACTTGGAGCGGTGACTACTTTACAACACACAGGGACCATAGGGTGTCAAAGCTGATTTATAAAACCCAAATTGTATACATGTAGTAAAGAACCTTTTAAATGTGTAAAAACCCAAAACATCACACTTTAATGGTATGTGAACATTGCCATGCTTTCAGTGTTCCATTATAGACTTGGTTTATATTGGAAAATCAGATGTGCTGTATACTGGTGCGACATGCAGATTTGGCTTCATGTAAAGGGAATAGTGTGTGCTGCAACAGTGTAAGATCATCAGTTGAGATGCTTGTACATAGTGACATGTGAGCAGAGTGACTGACCTTTACTCCTACTCTACTGGCCTTTCTTATAATGGGTTGGTGACAACTATCATGGCAATGAATAATGGCCATGCTCGGTAGAGGTTGCCAAGATAAGTAGCAGCATGTCACAAAACTGGTAGAATGAACACAACTCTTCTTGCTTGACATACAGCTACACTAGATTTACAGCTACCCATAGGAATGATTGCTGAATAGAAACTTAGATGGGAAGCACTTTACAAAAACTTAATGACAGAACCTGCCTGTAACATACAAAGCCAGGCTCCTGTATCATGTCACACTAGTGATCCCTTCACAGGAACTCTCTCCTGCTGCTATGGCTTTGCTCTCTTCCCAGCCTGAAATTAGTCTTTCTAGCCAGGCAGGGAGCATTGGTGGTGCAATACCTCACTGGTTCAAGCACCAAAGGAGAGGTGAGTGTCCTTTTTTAGTCACTGGTGATTTACTGATAGTGACAGGATTGCAGAAGAGACATGGCCCTAATTAAACATTATTGCTGTAAAGTGAGATGTAACTGCATTTTTTTTTGTCTGCAGGCTGAATATGAATTCATAAGCTCTGGACTATATCTGGTTGTCTTGCTTCACTTGTGTGAGCAGCGCTTCTCCGACATCCTAGGGGCTGCTAATGAAGCAAACACTCGGGTTAGAGTGAGTTGATGTGCTATTTTTTTATTAATTCTGTATGTAAAGGGTTGTATCTGGTATTCATCACATATACGGTGTCAGTTTTACAGTAAAATCCATCATGGAGAAACAAATGAAGCAAAATATGAAAGAAAAACGGAAAACAATTCATAAAATTAATGTCAAAACCAGACCCATAAGTTGGTGATGTACAAGTATGCAAACATCGCATATAGCCACGATATCATGAGAGACTAAAGTGGATGGAGCCAGTAATGGGGGGCCCAGCATCTCGCATGTGGGTTGGGGGTCGTAGTACAATTTTAGAGATCTGAATTGCAGTATCCTGAGGGGTGGGGAGGGGAACAGATCGGGAGGGAGGAGGGTGGTAGAGGGTAAGAAGGGGGCTTGGTGGGGAGGTGGTAATAGTTGCTGTGCTATTAACACCTTAACCTACCAGAGGACTTATCAGACAAGTTTTATTGTGCAGTAAATCCTCGTCTGTCCTTTTTCTATAACCTTAAACCTACTTTGCAGATATCCTAAAACTGGCTTACTAGTTTTGTCATTAAAATACCTGCTGTAATAGAGCCGTGTGATCTGGAGTGATCAATAGCGGTCAATCACTTGCCATTTACTGGTCAAACGTACTGTACAAGGTTCATCTGCTGTTCTTCACAGATGGCAGAGTATTGGAACTAGGCCCTCACTTTTGGTTTAGTCCATAGTTTGAGTATCTTGGATATTTTATTTACAGCAGCTCAGGACTAGTTTTCCTGAACCCAAACCTAATCTGCTTCTAACCAACGAATGTACGAATGTAGATTCTAACCAACGAATGTAGGGACCAACCAAACACCAAAAAACCTCCTGGAGTTTGCATACAATCTCCCGTTCTTTTTAACAGGAATTCTTTATCTTTTTTTAAACCTTCCGTAAATCCACTGGGCTGCCATCGCTGACCATATAAAGTGCCGGTTTACTGTTCTGCCTGATCCAAAACGAGAACTTCTGACTTCCCTTTCTGAGTCGCAAACCTAAAACATCAAGCAAAAAAGTACACAGAATATCTATATTTTTTTTTATTTTTTTTTTGAGAAGCCGCATGTTTGCGTTAAAGTTGAATTCCAGCTTTAACGCAAATACACACTCCTATAGTCCTAAATAGAAGAGACGTGTGTATTGAATCTTGGTGTGCTTTATGTATGAAGGATCCATCCAGGTAATCAAGTGTGAAACTTTGCCTCTGTGTTGGAGCTTCCTGTAATATTGGTCACTGCTGCTCTCTCCTTGTGCACGGTGACTGGTCTGGTCTCTGCCCCCTCCTGTAGTGGGTGGAGCCTGTGGGTCCCTTCCACAGCTCTGCTCTCTGCACAGGCTATGTACAGCATAGTGATGTCACTGCAAAGTCAATTACCCTGTATAAGTAGCAAGGAATTTGGTGCACAGATTTAATTGATATCCTTTGTAGTTATTGATGAAGGTATTTAAGTGAAGCTTTTTTGCTTGGTGTCCAGCTTTCTATCTCATTCACTCATCCTTATTCTATACTTGGATCTGTCCTTTGTTTAGACAAAGCTATAAAGGTAGATCTCTTCACTGGGTTTGTTTTTTTGTTCCCCCCATTAGTTCATCAACCTTGCGAGAACCCTTCAAGCACACATGGAAGATCTTGACAGTAAGTCTACATAAAATATGCTGATGGTTTTACAACTCTGCTAATATTTATGGTGTGTATGGAAAGCTGTACAATTCCAGACATATTATTCAGTCCCTGTACTCTGCTGTCTTAAGGCAATTAATTTTTTTTCCTTCAACCCGGGGTGTGTATGAAAAAAATTGGCCCGATTCCTCAATCAAACAAACGTCATGATCGAGGCATCCAGCTGTTTGCATTGTGTTCTGATGATGCCTGCGTCTCGTGTCAGAATACCCGGTCAGTGCAGGCAGCTCGTTGGCTGTCGACTCTGATCGAAAATTTTCCAGCCGGCTCCTTCAATCAGCTGATCGAGGAATGACGGCCGAAAGGGAGCAGACAGCCCCACACTGGTCGAATTTTGGCCGGTTTTTAATGTACTGGGCAAAATGCGCACAGTGTATAGGCACCTTAAGGCGACTGAATCCAAAACTGGAACTTGTCATTTAGAGACTCATGAAGTGTTTAAATGTGTGTGACCATTTCACCAGTAGTGGCAACTTTTTCCCGACTTTAGTTTTGGGGCAGCAATTGTAGTCGCTGCCAGAACCAATGTGACAATTCAGTGAATGGACATGTACACCAAAGACTACATTTCCAGGTTTCCTTTTATACGGACTTGTAATACTGAAGGTCAGACTACCATGGAAAATGCTAATCAACGCCACTGGTATTCTGATGCTCTGGCCTCAATACTGCGTCACTCACCCAGAACAAGTGTGTAGATCAAACTTTACGCAAATGATTTTGTTAATAAAAAAAAATATATATATATATATAGATATATAGCTGTATAGATATATCGATCTATATAATTAGTAACCTTTTTTAATATGTGTAATTCTTTTCAGCCTCAGACGATTCGGAAGATGAACGGGTGTGAGGAAACACATGCACACTTCTGAAACCTCTTACCTCCTCAGAATTGAAGATGACCCAGCCGCAGATGTGCAGATATTTGTTTTATTTTCCCGAATACTCCAGTGCTTGTGATGCATATCAAATCACTCTGTTGCCCTCTATTCACTTGTTGCACTTGATAAGCAATCTATAAATACTGAATCTGCATACAAGAAAGATTCCGTCATAGGTTACAAGAACCAGTTTGGCCTTTTTTGTAACATTTAATCTGCCTTTTTCTTTCTTTTGCTTAAAATGTTGACCGTTCATTATCTGTCTTGTTCTGTTTTTTATATGTTGAACTGAGTGACATATGTTCAGTCCATGTCTATCCTATAGTATTGCCTGCACAGCAGAGGGACGTTTTTGTTCCCTACCGCTGAGAGCACAGCATATCAATCATGGGAAATCTAGCGATATCCCCAAAATGGCCGACTCCACCATTGTCTTTTAAAGGGCACCTGTCTACTAAAATGTAGCATTTTTGCAAGAGTGACTGAATGTGA